TTCTGCTGAGTTCTGTTGCCATGGGAATCAGGTTAGGAGCATCACTTCACTTTGTTTGGCAGTTGAACATCACTGTCTTGAAAATGATGTAATTTGCCTTTGAAATGTAGAAGGACTGCTGATTCTTGACCTGAAGAGTTGACTCTTCAGTGTGTGTGTGTGTGTGTGTGTGTGTGTGTGTGTGTGTGTGTGTGTGTGTGTGTGTGTGTGTGTGTGTGTGTGTGTGTGTATGTGTGTGTGTGTGTGTGTGTGTGTGTGTTGTCATCAGTGTGTGGACTGCAAAGACAACATCTCACAGACTCAGTTCTTTGAGTCCTGTCCTTTGGATGAACCTATTTTGGTTTAAGGGTGTTGCTCCTTGGAGTGGAAGTGAAGCATCTTCAATGAAGTGAGAAAAAAAATATCGGTCATTTTTATAACTTTACCAAATTCAACCGTCGGATTTTAAATAAGTATAAAGGTGTGGGCGTGGCTAAGCCTCAAACTTTGACCTGTCGCCACGCCACTCTTTTTTCACAGCTCCCTATTGGACTCCTTTTACCCAATCACCAGCAATCTCTGGCAAATAGCAGCAGATCAGTTGAGGTCACTTGGTCTCCAGTACTGGCAGGTTTCGAAAAAAGGCGGGGCTTTGGGAGCATGGCGAAATTCGCCATCAGGCCGTGGAAATACGTTTGCCTCTCATTTCTTCAATTATCGTGACATCGCCACGAAATTTCTGGTGAGGGATCCTAGTCTGACCCCCAATAGAATTAGACAGCTGAAGTTTGGGGCGTGGCCTATTTTCTGAAATAGCGCCCCCTAGGACCATTAAAACTGTCAGCCCCAAGCCATGCTTTGACTGAGGATCACCAAATTTGGTATACTAATGTGGTGTCTCAGGACCTACAAAAAAGTCTCTTGGAGCCAAGCACAATGTCGCACAGGAGGTCGGCCATTTTGGTCCAAGTACTCGATTTAGTGGTTTTCGCACATGTTGTTTGGACATTGATGCCCTGTCGCCCTTTTCACTGATCACCTTCAAACTTCTGTTATGTACTCTTAAGACAAAGGGTAAAATATTTAACCGTCGGATTTTAAATAAGTTTAAAGGTGTGGGCGTGGCTAAGCCTCAAACTTTGACCAGTCGCCACGCCACTCTTTTTTTAACAGCTCCCTATTGGACTCCTTTTACCCAATCACCAGCAATCTCTGGCAAATAGCAGCAGACAAGTTGAGGTCACTTGGTCTCTAGTACTGGCAGGTTTCAAAAAAGGGCAGGGCCCTGGGAGCATGGCGAAATTCCCACCATGGAAATACGTTTGCTTCTCATTTCCTCAATTCCCATGATATCATCAAAAGATTTCTGGTGAGTGATCTTAGTCTGACCCCGAATATAAATCGATGTCATAAGCTGGTGGGCGTGGCCTTTTTCTAAAATAGCACCCCCTAAGACCATTAAAACTCCTTAGCCCCCAGTCATGCTTTGACTGAGGATTGTGAAATGTTGCACACTGATGTAGTGTGCTTGGGCCTACAAAGAAGTCTCATGGAGCCATGCTCCATATCCCACAGGAAGTCGGCCATTTTGTTCCAATTACGTTTCAGATTCTCTTTCAAAGCTGGAATATTCTGCTATTGTAAAACATTTTTAGTGGGGACGGCTGGCAGGCTAGGAGGAGAGGCTGAGTCGGATTGAGGTGACAGCTCACAGTGTTCGCAGTTGATTTATTGATTGAAATCTTTATTTTGAACACAAAATTTTTTTTTAAAAAGTACAACAACGTAGAATTCAAAGAGACAAATAATTACCTCAAAACAAACAGAAAAAGAAAACGAGCAGTCACAACTAATAACCTTCATGTTCAAAAAGGAGCAGGAAGAAGCATAAGCTTATTTAATCCCACCCCTTTTCCATTATCTAGTAATAAATAGATATACCTACATATACACATACATATATGTTTCCATCTACATACATGCACATACACACCTATTCACAATTTCAGTATCCCCAGTAACACTTCATAGTATACACAACCTACAGATATATATATACACATACCGTCATACCCATGCCCCCGCCAAAAAAAAGAAAAGAAAGGAAGAAGAAAGAAAAGAAAAATGCACGTCGGGGTGTCTGGTGCGCATGGGCGCTCGTGCGCCACCAGTCGCAGGGCGATGGGTTTGGAAAGCGTCGGGGATGGAGAGGGGGGGTTGCGGACGGAGGGCGAGCAGCTTCACTGCGAGGGCCGAACGACGCTGCTTGCAGCTTTAATTGATACTTCTACCTTCATTACCACTTTCAGAGGGAGGCATTTTAATATAAAGTTCTTCAGTGGCCTTCAATCTGCCTGCAGCTTCTCAATTATTGATTTTCACTGCAACTCTTAAAGCATCTCAATTCTCTTAACTTGTAATTCTCTTAAATTCTGAGTTAGTTTAATTTTATTTATTTATTTTTATTTAACCAGATGAGATGAGTTTGTGGCTCTCTTGTAAATACGTGGACAGAGGAAGTCATTAAAACATTTTATAAATATATTCTACATTTTGTGTGAAAGCTATTGAATACAAAATTTTATCATGTGCCTTCTGTCACCTGTAAGCTTACAGAAATGAAAAAAGAAAGAAAAAAATCCCCGTTTGTTATCATTGTGGATTTATTTGTATAGTTTTCATGTGCATTTAGTTTGTTATAAAAATCATTTTCCTCTGTTAACTCTGATTTTTACAGAGCTGCCACCCACACAAAACAAAATTAGAGCAATATCACATCTTAACTTTACTGTTCTAACAATGTAATTTTTTTTACTGTTTCTTTTCACGGTTGCACAATATATTAGCATGTTATTACAAAACAGCATAATGTTCTAACAAGATCATTTTCACGTTTTTACAATATAATATCACATTCATACGACATAGAAAGTGATATTTTGTACAACCGTGCTTAATATGCACATTGTACGAACGTGAAGATGTATTGTAAAAAAATATAATATTGTAAGAACATGATAATATATATCGTACAAACATTGTTGGAAAAATTAAGTCATGATGTTATACAGTGGTGTGAAAAACTATTTGCCCCTTCTTGATTTCTTGTTCTTTTGCATGTTTCTGATCATCTGATCATCAAACACATTTAACCATTATTCAAAAATAACACTAGTAAACACAAAATGCAGTTTTTAAATGATGGTTTTTATCATTCAGGGAGGAAAAACATCCAAACCTACATTGCCCTGTGTGTAAAAGTAATTGCCCCCTGAACCTAATAACTGGTTGGGCCTCCCTTAGCAGCAATGACTGCAATGAAGCGTTTGCGATAACTTGCTACGAGTCTTTTACAGCGCTCTGGAGGAATTTTGGCCCACTCATCCTTGCAGAATTGTTGTAATTCAGCTTTATTTGAGGGTTTTCTAGCATGAACCGCCTTTTTAAGGTCATGCCATAGCATCTCGATAGGATTCAGGTCAGGACTTTTACTAGGCTACTCCAGAGTCTTCATTTTGTTGTTCTTCAGCCATTCAGAGGTGGATTTGCTGGTGTGTTTTGGGTCATTGCCCTGCTGCAGCACCCAAGACGGCTTCAGCTTTAGTTGACGAACAGATGGCCGGACGTTCTCCTTCAGGATGTTTTGGTAGACAGTAGAATTCATGGTTCCATTTATCACAGCAAACGTTCCAGGTCCTGAAGCAGCAAAACAACCCCAGACCATCACACTACCACCACCACATTTTACTGTTGGTATGATGTTCTTTGTCTGAAATGCTGTGTTACTTCTACGTCAGATGTAACGGGACATTTGTCTTCCAAAAAGTTCAACTATTTTCTCATCAGTCCACAAGGTATTTTCCCAAAAGTTTTGACAATCATCGAGATGTTTCTTAGCAAAACTAAGATGAGCCCTAATGTGGTTTATGCTTAACAGTGGTTTGCGTCTTGGAAATCTGTCATGCAGGCCATTTTTGCCCAGTCTCTTTCTTATGGTGGAGTTGTGAACACTGACCTTAATTGAGGCAAGTGAGGCCTGCAGTTCTTTAGAAGTTGTCCTGGGGTCTTTTGTGACCTCTCGGATGAGTTGTCTCTGCGCTCTTGGGGTAACTTTGGTTGGCCGGCCACTCCTGGGAAGGTTCACCACTGTTCCACATTGTCGCCATTTGTGGATAATGGCTCTCACTGTGGTTCGCTAGAGTCCCACAGCTTTAGAAATGGTTTTATAACCTTTACCAGACTGATAGATCTCAATTACTTTTGTTCTCATTTGTTCTTGAATTGGCATGATGTCTAGCTTTTGAGGTGCTTTTGGTCCACTTCTTTGTGTCAGGCAGCTCATATTTAAGTGATTCTTGATTGAAACAGGTGTGGCAGTAATCAGGCCTGGGCGTGGCTACAGAAATTGCACGCAGGTGTGATACACCACAGTTAGGTTATTTTTTTTTTAGCTAGGGGGCAATTACTTTTTCACACAGGGCAATGTAGTTTTGGATATTTTTCTCCCTAAATAATAAAAACCGTCATTTCAAAACTGCATTTTGTGTTTACTTGTCTTATCTTTGACTAATGGTTAAATGTGTTTGATGATCAGAAACATTTTGTGTGACAAACATGCAAAAGAATAAGAAATCAGGAAGGGGGCAAAGAGTTTTTTCACACCACTGTAATATGACATCACTCTAATTTTCTTTTACATAGGTGGCAGCTCTACGCTTACGTAGACTTATGTTAATCTGCAGTAAGAGATACAAGGTCATGACAGAGAGGGACATATAAACTACACTAATGGGAGAATATTTTACAGAAAACTACAAAACATTAATAACAAATAAAATTATAATATAATATTTTGATACAGGTATGGATGTTTCTATTGCTATTTTATTTGTTTCGTGAAACTGAGATTTTTTTTTTTTTATTTATTTGGCCTAATTTATTAGATACATAGAAGGAAATTTACAGCACCTGGAGAGGGTTGACGTTTTTCCGAGAGTTGAGTGACAGGTTGTTTTAGCCAATAAGAACAAAACTAGGATACAAAGGGGAGGGACTTTGCGGAAAGCGCACTTAGCAATGTAACATGTCTCCTTAACAACCGATGCCAGAGTCAAACAACAGAAGTTTTAGCTGGACAAACGCGTCGTAAGTAACACCTCTCTGTGGTGTTTTGCATTTGTATTCTCCCGAAAACACACTGCAGTTCGTTATTTTACAACGGAGGAGTTAAAAATGACGTCTTTGTAGTGGATAGCTTCTTTCAGCATCAGCTGTTTGCTTTAAAACAGGCTAAGCTAATTAGCTAGCTAGTGAAGACTCGCTTGTTCGTGTTGCTAATTCGCAGTAGTTTGGTCACGTATACGAATTATCCATTGTGTCAACATTATGTAAAACTTAAAACGTGCTCGTTGTTATAAACTATAGTTTTATTACGCTGTAGAGGCTCAGTATTGTAAGCTAACCTCTCTCCAGTTAGGTCACTAGCTACACTGACACTGGAGTAGGCATAATTTTACTGTCTGTGCTCTTTCTGACTTTGTTACTAGCTGGGTTTAATAAACTAAGGTGGGGGATTTAATGTGCTGCAGGAGTCGGAATGGCTGGGACCGGCGAGGCAAAAAAAGAAGAGGCCGACTACAAGAGACTTAACAGCTTTCCCCTCATCAGAGTAAGGCTGGATCAGGCTTCAAGAGAAAAACCGCTGATTTTAGAATGACTCCATCTAAAAAAGGCTGGCTCACTGAGGTTAATAATAGTTTGATGAGCGTTGAATCTACGTAGTAATGGCTTCTTTATTATAACTGTTATGAGTTTAGGTTAAAGCTTAATATTCTTGGTGTTATTCTCTAACTATTCAACCCTTTGACTATTTAAGAAACCTACAACATTGTATAACTATTGAATTATACAGTTAAGCTGTAGCATTAAACCAGAGGTGTAAAAACAATGTAAACTTTTCCCAGATAACATATTTCTTCAAATTGGATAGATGCTTTTTAGTATTTTATGCCACATTTCACAATAACTATAAAACCTAAAACATATTTCCAACCACTTGTTTACTACTAATATTCATATAATCCATCATTGTCTTCTACATATAGTATTAATGGATTTTTAAACTAATGTAGGCCCTGTTTGCAGTTTAAGAAATTAAAATGAATCTGTTTGTCTCTGTTTAATCTGTCTTTATGGATGAAGTTTCCCAAATACATAAATTAATAGAAAGAGAAGGGCTTTACTCCCTTTTAAATTGCATGTAAAGGTCATTTAATATGCAAGTGCATTTAGATTTTGATTGTAGATGATCCACATGCAAAACAACACATAAGAGGGAAAATGCAGTTCCTCACTGTTCATTTGTCCTCAGCACACAGACATGCCAGAGGAAATGAGGGTGGAGACCATGGAGCTGTGTGTAACAGCCTGCGAGAGGTTTGCCACCAACAATGAGGTGTGTAGTTAGCTATTTTTTGTTTTACTGTGTGCCTTATAAACCTTACGGTATACTGACAGTGTTATAAAATGACCTAAATACATTATGTACTCAAAATTTTTTGCCGTGCTTCCCAGAGTGCTGCAAAGATGATTAAGGAGTCCATGGACAAGAAGTTCGGCAGCTCGTGGCACGTGGTGATTGGCGAGGGCTTTGGCTTTGAAGTCACACACGAAGTGAAGAATCTACTCTATATGTTTTTTGGTGGGAGCCTGGCAGTCTGTGTTTGGAAGTGCTCATAGCACCTCCCCCACCTCCCTTCAGATGTGCTCAAAAACTGGGAATGAACACCAGCTTCCAACCAGACGCTGGTTCCGTTTTGTTGTCATGGCGTTTTTAGTTTGCCACCAGGGATTTAGTCATTTGGTCAGAGTTTCAAAGTCGGATTGTCACCTTTGTCTGGTGGTATGAAAAATTCACCTATCTGTTTTATGTTGTTATTTTTCTAGTTTTATTTTAATCAAAGTGTCCCCCCCCCCCCACACACACACACACACTTCTAAGCATCTTCCAGAATGTTTGTGTTTGTATTGTTGGAAGTAAACTCAACTTTTACAAAAATGACAGCCAGCCAGGGTCTCCAAAGTCCTTTATCCTCATTTCTCTTCAGGTAGTGCATGTGTGCATGTGTGTGTGTGTGTGTTGATTACATGTTTGTGTGTGCTGGACACACACATTTTTTTTAATACCTACACACCTTTCTGAGCAGAATTCCTTTTAACTACTTTTTCCTCTGTCCATGTCATCTGAAATGATCTCACACGTGTCTTTCTCTCTCTCCAATGGCACTACTCTTTCAATAACTTTTGTAATGTTTTTTATGTGTACATATTTTGATGCAGGAAAACCAGTGTCACCTTCTTACAAGAAGCCAAACACTAAAACTTGATCAAAACTTTTCTCCTTGTAAAGGTATTTGTAATAATCACCCCTATAGGTGACAATAGCAATGTGATTGTGTCATGCTGATGCTGGTTTTAATGATCCAGCGCACTGGACCATGGGAACTTACCTGATTGTAAAATAAACTTGAAATGTGGTGAACTTGAAACTCAGTCTGGTTTTCTTTAGTCCTTGAGAATCAAAGTTAGATTTGTTATGTCTTAAAGCTGAAATCTAGAGTTTTTTTCTCAGGGAAACCATCTGGAAGTGGAAAAATGTATTGTGCCTTTAAGCCTTTCTCACAGCTTCCATGATTATGGCTGGAAGCAATGCCTCTTATTCGTGAACGTGCACCTCTAGCTAGGCAACAGCTAAAAAACATTTTTAAAGACTAACTTGTTCATAAGGCATGCTGTCAACTGCATCAGTCTAAGTAGTTCTGAAAATTAGCATGTATACTCTGTAGTTAAGTGGATGTTGAACACTAATTGCTAATAATGAGCGGCACTGCACTCAAATTGCATACGATATTCCTGAAAATACTCTGGACTGCTGTGGAATACTGGTTGAATCAATACATTTGCAGTGGTCTCCAGTAGGGTTGAATACCTTGTAAGTCAACTCGGGGTGGCAAAACACTGAATCACCATTTCCAGGAACAAAAAATCCGCCACATCACAGCGGAGCTTCGTAGACTCTTATTTCCTTATATTTGGACATCTTGCCTTGGACTGGATAACAGCAACGCGACTCTACCACTGACTTGCAACATTCATGTTTTATCTCCACAAGCCTGGAGGAGCTGCCTTGCGGTGAAGTGGCTAATGCTAACGGTTAGCTTCTACTAGCTGAGAGACACTGCAGTTTCCTGGACGCTAAAACGACAACAGCCTTCCACGTCATTAGTCAAAATGGGTGAGTCCATGAATGTTAATTGGTGACAGAGTGATATATAGATTTGTCAGGATTTTCAAATCCTAGAGTTCCACCGTCTATTTTCTATCAGAAGCTAATGCAGGATGGTGTGGGAGACTATTTTCATGTTCAGCCTGCATGAAAAACTCAGTGACTGATTATAATTAGAAAAAATAAAATATTTGTTTTTCAGTCATCCACACCTTTAAGCATGGCCATTTAGGTAATGAAATCAGAATTTTGTTGCTGGAGAATAAAAAAGCTGAGGCAGGTGTGAACATAAACATACTGCAGGTTTCATCTAAATAAAAACAACAGTTTTACACAGAATATGTGCTGCATCTTTAAGAATAAATGCATTTAATTGTAAATAATTCATTTTGAATATCTGGTTAGGGTTAGGGTTAGGCTATGAAATGAAGAAAGGTCACCCCCGAAGGTGGTGACCCTCCTAAATGCACTGTCCATCGAGGGGGCTTCCGTGGCTGACGGCTGTCCCTTTCCACCCAATTGTCAGTAACCACAAGCCCAAATTTTGAATTCCTCTGTCTTTCTCCACCTCCATTTTTCTGGCTTGGCACCCCCTTTACATATCTTTCCCTTACTTCCTTTTAATTGGCATTGCTTTGCTTTCTTTAGTGAAAATATGTGCTTCACACAGAGATGCTACATACCAACAGTTGCTTTGAAGCAGCTTTTTCAAAGGAGAGCAGACTCAAAGAACCCATCCAAAAATAACAAGAGTTTAGGGGTTTAGTGAAGCAGTGTTTGGCCAGTCATTGTGAATAAATCAGGATTTCTAAAAGAACTTTGTGCTTTTAAAGCTGCAGAGTCACAATTTAGATGCAATTTTTCCTCCCGAGGCCATTTTGGAAATGAGCTTCTGTTGTTAAACGCTCAGTGTAGCTCAAACGTCTGTAGAGTTCTTCACTGAAGGTAAGAACTCAGCTTGTTTTGTTGAGGGATTTTTAGAAGATAGATAGAATCTCTTTAAAATTGCATTAGTTTATTAGTAAAATTAAAACTAAAATGCATTCTTGATGAACCTTAAGTATTAATCAGGAAAACATTGAACTAATATTCAACTTTGTGTCGGCAAAACAAAATCTGAAAAGGGATCTGTTTTTAGGAGGTGACAGAAATGCGATCAAATGTGACATGACAGTATTGACTTGTCCCTTCGGAGGTCACAGTTCATCGTGACCCAGTAGTTGAGGTTGCCAGTGTTGACAAAGCAGCAGGACCATCAAAAACACAGAGTGACCTCACATCAGGTCACACTGTTCCATGGGTACAAAAACAGAATAAGTCCTGATTTTTACCCGTATAAAAAAACCAAAAAGTGTTATTCAGCAAATGGTTATACCATAGATCGAGTGTTTACCTTAAGTCATACGTCAGGTTGCTTTTGTTGGGTGCAACACCAATAATAATTTCAGTCAGTTTAAAGTTAATTTATTCATCCGTTGATCCCAGATAAGCCATACGCAGTTACAAATTAAAACTCCGGAGTCGTTTTTCCATGGAAATAAAATACGTTTTTAGTTGTGAATGAAAAATAAAATACATACATATATATATATATATATATACATATATATATATATATATATATATATATACATACATACATATAGGTTGACTAATTCAGGACTGCACAGGACTGATTTCAGCCAATATTTTTAGGGGAGCATAAAGGAGTTATATTAGGACTTTTTTTATTGAGACATAATAGTTCTGTGGTCGATATAAAATATATTTGTGAAGTTATTTGCACTAAATCCCTCTCTCATAAATCAATTTCAGCTGTTTGATTCTTCACTTTCAGTACCTTCTAGAACAGGGGTGTCAAATACGCGGCCCGCAAGCGGGTTGAATCCGGCCCGCCAGATGGTTGTGAAAACTTTATTTTCATACTTTACAATGTAGAGTGAAAATAAACTTATCATTGTGAGCAAGTTTTCTCTGTAACGAGTATAAATAAAACAAAGCTGCGCTCAAGGCTCACACAAGAACTTGAATCCCATCCTGAAGTTGGCCGCCACTCAGGATGTGACTTCTGATATTGATGTGCTGGTGAAAGCTAAACGATGTAAAGTAAAATGAGTCAAATATACTTTAAGTGCTGCATGGAACTGATCTTGCCATGTGATCTGTAAGCTCTTTGAATCACTAAGGAATTTTTATTTATTTATTGATTTTTTAATTTTTTTTTATTTTCAATTACACTTCAGGTGTTGTACTTGTACTACACTGTCCTCAGGCTCCAGCCTTGTTTTATATTGATTGTATTAAAACAAAGAAAACAATCTGAAGTTTTTTTTTTATTTTATTTACCGGTCCGGCCCACTTGGGACTAGATTTCCCTCAATGTGGCCCCTGAGCTAAAATGAGTTTGACACCCCTGTTCTAGAATGAGCAGTTTCAGGTCACTTTAAGAAAAACAAGCTGCATCTGGCCATGTCCACCCATCCCACACTCAGGCCCTGTCCACACGTAGCCGGGGATCTGCCAAAACGTAGATATTTTTCTACATTTTGGCCTGTCATCCACACGAAAACGGAGTTTTTTCACACGAAAAAGGATCTTTTTAAAAATTCCGGCCAAAGTGAAGATCTGCATTTTCTCCGTTTTGGGTGTCTGCGTGTGGACAGACAAAACCGGAGTTTTAAGGTCCGCAACGTCACGTTCCGCGACAAAAAAATGCTGACATCACGTTTGCGACCTGTGTTTACACTAGCCGACAGCATGGATGCCCTCAGAGCTGCGCTCGCTTTATCAATTGTCCAAGCGCTTTTTGCTTGTTTGTTTTTGCAAGCGGAATTACTGCTCCTTGCGGAAGACCACAGACGAAGGACGAGGTTAAGAACGGCGAAGTACTGCCACCTACAGGTCTGGCATGTCCTTAACAACGTATTTATCCGGGTACGTGTGGACAGAGTTTTTTTTTTTAAACGAGGTGGTGTGGATGCAAGTTTTTGGAGGGGCGGATATTCGTTTAAAAAAAACCCGGCTACGTGTGGACTAGGCCTCAGGCTGCTATAAGCTGAGAAGCTCCAATATCCAAGAGCAACTCAGAGTATAGTTGTTGCTCCTTCAACAGCAACTCTCTCTTACATATGAGAGCATCTATTCTAATTTCTCCGTTTGTGACATCACAAACAGGGACTTTTTGAAATGACTCGTTTTTGGCACAAAGATACTAAAACCAAACACTGACTAAAGACACATTTGGAGTGTTTATAGAGGCAGCAGAGACCCACATGTCAGCACAGAAGGACACATGAGGTGAGTTTTGCATAGTATTACCCCTTAATGCAGGCGTGTCAAAAGTGTGGCCCAGGGGCTGGTTGTCACCATTGGAATGATTTCATACAGCCCCCAATTGGATTATCTAAGAGTAATATTTTTGTCTCTCTAGCAGACTGTTGCTGTAGATGGTAAAAAAAAATTATGCAGAGATTTTTTTTACTAATACAAGGAATGTGTTTTGATTAAAAAGTACACTGTAAAATAACGTTAGAGGTTGTTTTTTTGCGGGGAATTTTAACTTAATAACTTTTGCTTTTGCCTTGGGAAGTTTGGACATCTGGGGTCCAAATTTAGCAGGTGGGCAGTTCTGTCCCTTCGGACATGTAACACTGACAAAAGAATGATTTTAAAGTTATTGTGCAAGACGTGAAAAGCGTTTTTATTCAGGTTTTTGCGTGAAAACAACCCAAATCTGCTCTCCACATTTCTAATGTTGTTGTCTGAGATTTACTGACCTAATTTTGCATGTAAACATCCACAGGTGAGGGTTTTGACAGGGATCAACTGGATGTGCTGGGACTGATGCCAGCGTAATACACTGATAGCTTTCACCCGGATTTACCAGGGTGACCCATTTCATGTGAAGAAGCCTTTACAATCAGCAAATACCGTAACAGCACTGAAGCTAATCCTGTAAAAAGTATGTCGGTAAACATGCTTCTGCCACCAGCTTCTGCCTCATCCATTATTAACCTCAGACCCTTTTTATGTATCTCCCTCCTCGTCTTGTGTCTCCTCCACAATGTTAAATATTTATGCATGGAGACGCAAAGTCACGCAAAACATTCTGCTAGTTTGTTTAGTGTGAACATTACAAAGCTTCCTCAGTGTCAGAAAAAGGACATATTCTGAAAAGGCTCTCTAGGTTTTTTTTATTGAAGTTACTGACATTTCTAGTCAAGGAAAACCTTAAAAGATCCACCAAGCAGCTACGCTGTCTCT